ACAGAATACGAAATCAGACAAATGCTATCAATAAAGCCAGTCTTACAAGTTATCAAAGAACAACAAATGAAGTGGTTTGGACTCCTAACAAGAATGCCATGGTACTATCTGCCACAGCGAGCCACACTAAAACGTTACAAAGGGTATTGAGCGAGTGAGAGACCTCGGAAAAATGGAGTGATGGCATTAAGAACAGCCTTTCTAGAAATGAACATCAGTCTCAATGGTGCTCTTGATAGAGCTCATCAACGGATGTTACCCCCCTACCCCCCCCCCCCCCCCCCCCGCCCCATCCCCGACAATTCGCTGAGGTACAAGGTGGAAGAGAACAATAACAATAAAAATATATTTCACTTGTGTCACAGTCTATTTAACTTGCGCCATCATTATCATCATCAATTTCCACTTCTGCCGTTAAGCGTTGTGGGGAGGAACAGTTCGCGATCCATTGCATGATGAGGCGCAGCAATAGCTAATGACATTCTATGTAGAATCTCTCTAATGTCATTAGTCCATATTCTCATAGGGCGGCCTTTTGCTTTCCCTTTAGATCTTCCAATGCGTAGCGCCTGCGTTGGTAGTTGTCCTGGCTACATTCTTACAAGAAGACCAAACCATTTGACTTGCTGTTTCTCAATGAATTTGCTGCATGATGTTGTTCTTGCAGTCTGTCTGATAACATTATTGAATTGCGTGTCGCTGATAAAATGTGTATTTTCCCCTTTTTCATATTGACGTACACAAAAATTTGTTTTGTTGTATATGACTCCTACTTTTTAGCCAATAGGCCCCAAAATGGCACCGAAAACACACATGTTGAAGAAAGTGAAAGTTGGTCGTGGTGTCAAACGGTATGTCATTCAGTATGTGATTAACTATTGTAATACCATTTTGTTATTTCATTTATTTGCTTTTCGAATTTAGTTTTCTGTTAAACTTAATATAATAGGCACTACGAGAAATCATTTTAAAATAAGCTTCACTTGCGTGCCGTTTATTATAAATTATAGGGAGGAGTGGACAGATTTTCCTCATTGCTGCTCATTGCACATCGAAATATTCCAGTCCGTAAGTGGTCGGATCCTCTTCTATGTTACAAACCTGGTGTAACAGTGTTACTGTTACACGAGGTTTGGTATTGGTAGTCAATAATTTTTAAAATTTCTTTAAAACTTAAACTCAAAAAAATTTAATAATTATATAAATTTAAGTTATTTAAATATTTTTTTCTGAGCTTTTGTGCTGTCAGCTGTCATTTTTGCAAGACTCGACTCAATTTGGAACGATAAATCAAAACTTATATATATATATATATATATATATATATATATATATATATATATATATATTTATATATATATATATATATATATATATATATATATATATATATATATATATATAATATATATATATATATAATATTGACTTTATCACTTTACATTTGCTCTACTATTACCCACGATAAAATACAGTTTATGGCTCTCCTCCGAACGGACAGCGTCCTAATATTCTGGCGGCCATAAAATATCCTTACGAGGCTCAGTCATATGTAAAATGCGGACTGTCTGCCAAGGAACAAATCGTTGCAAAACTAGGATTGCTTGGCAATTTCATGAGACGCAAGATTGCAGACGATAAAAGCGACCGTTGACAATTTCGAGCGTTTCTGCAGACGATAATAGCGACTATTGACAATTTCGAGACATTACAGGCGATGAAAGCTATATGGTGGGTAGACCACGCGCTCCGATGCAGATTAGCAATACTGTTCCTGCGATTGAGGATTTAGCAGCGGTAGATGTCAGACCTGCCGACCTGTATCCTCACACTTTTCAGCATGCGTAAAACGCGATTAAACTCACCACCAAGCGTATCCCCTGTGCCTCTACGTGCGGCACAGATGGGGGGGGGGGAGGGGGGGGGGCTAAACTAGGTGCCTGGGACTCACAAGCAAATTAATTGGAGGAAGTTGCAGGAGATGCGGTAGCTGCTGCTCTTGAGTCCCAGCCATCTAGTTTAGCCCCAATCTCCGCCGCCCATAGCGGCGTGGAGGATACGGTCGGCGGTGAGGCACAGTCACAGAAAGATGTCCGCAAGTAACATATCGCTGAGACCCTGTTAGAGCATCTGTTTCATTATACGGAGCCGGCATATTTTTAATAGAACTGAGGTCAGAAAAAAAAATATTAACTTGCCTTTGAAATTTCGATATTTAATATTTAAATATAAGAATTCCAGGTTGTTTGTCCCATTAAAAAAAAAAAGTTAAAGAGTATACTATGAAACTGGTAAAACTGTGTAAAAAGTGTAAATTACTAGGTGTAATCAAATAGGCTATCCTCCGAATAACGGGCACATATTATGGCGGCCGCAAAAACACCCTAACAGAGCCTCAGTCACGTGTCAATTGCGCACTTCCAGCGACTTAATCTGAGCATTTCCGGCGACTACCACCACCGCCGAGAGTATCCCGCACGCCGCTCACGAGACGGGGATTGGGGCTAAACTAGATGGCTAGGACTCATGAGCAGCAGCTTCCGCATGTCCTGCAGCTTTGCTCGTGAGTCCCAGCCATCTAGTATAGCCCCAATCCACGCTGCATGGGGGATACTCTCGGCGGTGGCGGTAGTCGCCAGAAATGCGCAGATTAAGTCGCCGGGAGTTCGCAATTTACATGTGACTGAGGCCCTGTTTTTGGCCGCAATATTTTGTGCCTGTTATTTGGAGGATAGCCATCAAGTATTATTATATAAAAGTATTGTTGCATATTTGTTGAGTCAAGAATTGACATGACAGCACTTGGGGCATTCCCATGCGTGCACCATCCTCATCTACATCTATTGTATGATGTGATAATGTTCAGCTGTGAAGTCACATTTTTCTGAATGATTGAAGACATTCAATTAATCAATGTTTATGCAGTATTGTAGAATTTATTCTGTCTTACATAAAGTATAATACCTGGTGAGATAATATTTTGTGTTAGGAACAGTATTAAGTGTTGACACAGAGGAGTGGCTGGCTGAGTTTATACAATTGATCAACATCATGGCACAAGAGTAGTAACCCATAAGATCTCAGTTCTACTTCTGACTCAAGCCTGAGTCTAAAGAATCTCAGCGCAGTGCACCGGCAAGGATCCTGAAATACTTTGGGTAGATTTTCAACTCCCTAATGTTTGCCGGGCAGCGCTGTTCATGGTCCTCATCATCATGTAACCTGCTAACTGGTGTAGGCGCTCATGCATCTTCACAGATCACGATCCCTAGTCTGGAACAGCTCTCTTGATGATGTCCCTCCATGCCATTGTCCATTCAGCATTATCTCTCTTTGTCAATAGGCTACTCTTTTTCGATTTCCAACTGCCAAGGGATTCTTTTACGTGCGCAGCAATATACACGGATGCCCGATCTTACTATCCAGAGACCAAGGGAAAATTCTAGAAGTCGACGTGATAAAATCCCAGCCCTCACCAGGCCTGAACCTGGGTCTTTTAGCACTGGAGGCAGACACCATGCCTCGAGACCACTCAGTCCCCCAAACCAAACCAAACCACATAAAAACCCAGTGCTCTTACGCCCTCAGCCAGCCACTCTCTTTATGTGGGAGACCCAGGTTAAAATCCTCAGTAAGGTTTCTCTGGGGGAAAAAAATAAAATGCTCAATTGCACCATCAATGCTAACAGCACTTGCCATGCAGCCCTTAATCCTCAGCCTCAAAGACAACCCTTCCTGTCAACACCACAGATCTGTAAACTTGGACTGAAATTTCTGGTTTCTCTTGTTCCAGAACCTGATTGCTGCATCTACATCAATTTTACAGACCTGACATATATATGAAACTGTGGGTACCTGCCTATGAGGCACACAGATGCTTTCCAACTTTGAGGGAAATTCCCAGTTAGTTGACTCTTATGACATGCTTTAGGGGGGGGGGGGGGGGGAGTCTGTTCTTGTTCCCCAAAACTTGCATGGGAAATTAGAAGACATAAATTTGCTGTGTAAAATAATTCTGTGGTAGACATATTCAAGATATGATAATGGTGAAATAAAATTAAAAAATATGCAGTAAAAATGGAACTTGCTTATTTTAGTCAGTAAGATTATTTTAGTACTTTATACTTTATTATCCTTGTGTGAGTTCTGAACCCTGGGGAGGGGGGATAGGGGGTACAGACCCACTGCCACACATAAAAGGCAGCTAATTAAGGGCTGGTTGAAATCAGACATCCCTGTGTGGTTTCCTGGGTCCTATTATAAGGGAAACAAGAATTGAACCACTGCCTACCTAAAAGCATGTAGTAAGAGTCAACTGATTGGGAGCTTTCTTCGAAGTCAGAGTGCATCTGCCTGAGAGGCAAGGAATCAGCAGACTGCATAAAAATGAGTCAGATCTGTGAAAAAAATGCACACGCAACACTCATGTTCTGGAACAGGACTACAGTCCGAAAGTGGATGAACAACTATAACTTTCCACCAGAGTTTACAGCTGGTGAACACGAAGAAGGAGAAATCAGACACATTGGACAGAAAAGTACAGATATCACAGCCCATGTATAAACCACCACGCATTGTGCCAGCCACCCATTTGAAGGCGAACAGAAGATGCTTTATTATATGTTGATGTAAATTTTATAGTATGTACCTACAAGATACAGTCAGATTTGCCTAGCACTTTGTGCTTCTAGAGGTTGCAGGTTAACAGAGGATCAGTTTCTGAGCTAGGGCACGCTCAGTTGCCCCAGATAGCCCCATATACTGTGATGTAATTGTCTCAAGATATCATTGACTCCTTTAATCCATTCTTTCTTGTTTGTTCCCTGCATCTTGATATTTCTACTTTCATGTTTTGTGCTCTTGTTGCTGGTGTCATTGGATTCAAACTTATCATTAATTAGCTAAATATTTCAGTTTTGCAATCAGTTGAGTAATATATTGTTTGTATCCTCGTTATATAAATTATCTTCAATGTTTCTTTATCTCCAGGAAAGACCCAGTGAAGACAATGCCAAACTCAAGCTTACATCTGATGCTCCGTTCGCTGTTCCTGTCATCTGAAAGATGCAACGGAGGCCTGCCCCCTTTTATACAAGGCATAGACTCTGAGCAGACATTTCAACAGCTTGAGCTCAGAAATGTACTGACTTTGCCAGTTTGCACTAAGGAAGTGGTGAAAATATCATCAGAGAAACATCCAGATAAAAGCAGAGACAAAAATCAGAATATCAAACAAAAGAATACAGCACCTGTTGATTTAGGTTCTGCTGGGGATGATAGTCAAGAGAGTGATGAATCAGGGGACAGTGAAGAGGAGAGTGCAATGTTGAATTCAATTAAAAAACGTTTGGCAGAAAAATCTGCAGGTGAAGATGAAATTGAAGATTTCAGTGTCGATGAAGATGAACTGGATTTTGATTTTCAGCTTGATAATGAAATCTCCAAAAGTGTTTCGGATGATGAAGACGACGGAATAAATATAAAAGGAGTAAGGAGAAAATTGCCAGACAAGTTGGTTAAGAAAAGAGTTTCTGTTGTTGACGATAAATTTTTTAAGTTATCAGAAGCTGAACAGTTTTTGGATTCTGAGGATTTGAAAGAGGAGAAGAGAAAGAAGAAAGAGGAGAGGGGGAAAGATAAGACAGTTGAAGAAGATGACGATGATGATGAAGAAGGCGAAGATGACGGTGAAGACATTGACATATTTGGTGAATTGGATTCTGATGATGTAAGTTTTTATGAAATTAAATACTGTTAATGTCAGCTGAAAATTTACCAACTTGTCACTTCTAATTAACTGTTTTCATATGTGATAGTTACATGTAAGTATAATTAATTAGGTCTTTTGAGATCAGCAAGGTAATGGCTGCCATCTAAAGTTCTTGGGTTCGAATGCTCATGGGGAAATTTTTTTTTCTTTCTTCAAAATTGATATTGTCTGCCAGGTAGACACAGCCCAAAATGGGTACTAGGTAGTGTCCTGGGAAGTAAAAGTGGTCGTAGTGATGTTGACCACATCATTCACCGAGTGCCATTGGTCCCTCAGATATGTCTAGTATCATATGACAGATGGTTAAAAAGTGTCCTTTACTTTTTTAACTGGGTCTTTCCTTTCAGTTTTTTTTTCTCTATTTAACTTCATTTGTCCAATAAATTGGAAGATGGAGCTGTGGTTTGGTGCCTGGTCAAACTAGAAGGGAACAGATTCGGAACACATTAGAGGAAACATGGACACAAATAATAAGGAAAATGTCCCCGTGTGGGTTCCGGGGCCCTATTATAGGGAAAACAAGAAAAGACCCACTGCCTACCCAAAAGCGTGTCTTAAGAGTCGACTAATTGGTAGCTTTTTTGTCAAAGTCGGAGTGCATCCGCCTGAGAGGCAAGGAACCAGCAGTCTGCATGAGTCAGATCTGTAAAACGAATGCACACGCAACACTCAGGTTCTGGAACAGGACTGCAGTCCAGAAGTGGAACAACCAGAACTTTCCGTCAGAGTTTACAGCTGGTGAACGTGAAGAAGATGAAGAATATGAATAACCCATGAGGAAAACATCAGGCAGATAATGATAAGAGGAACACACTGGGAAACAAACAAGAAGGAACAGTCTATCTTTGAGGAAAGGTACATAAAGCCAGAGAACTGGCACACATACCAGTCTTAGCCACACAAGTGGTGACAATAAATCAGACCACAAATATGACCAGAGACTTGTGGCAACTTACTGCCACCAACAGGTTGAACGTTGTTGAGTTTCTAATTTTTTTTTTATAGAATGGAGCTGCAAGCTGTGGTATGGTAGCTTGTTGGTTAGTTCATTAGCTTACCATCATAGTGGTCCAGGTTCATCAGATTAGTTGACTTTTTTTAACGTGTTTGTTGAGTATTTGGAGTAAACATCTCCTCTCCATCTATCCCTCCTCTCCCTCCCAGAACCCACACAGGGAAACATGCCAACAATCATTTACTCTTTTTTTTTTTTAGAGTAATACCAATCATTTGCTTCATTTGCTAATTGCTTTAGTGTGTTCATTGTACTATTGCCAAACTGTCAGCACAATATTATTTGGCAATATCTAGTATATTTCACTGAGTGTTTAATGTAACTTGTCTTCACACTCTAGGATGCTCAGGGGGCTAAATACGGAGACTTCTTTGACCCTCCTGATGATGCCAGTGCCGCAGAAGCATCTAACGAGAAAGCTAACAGGTCACAGAGTGATCTTGATGATTCTGAGTTAAATCCAGAAGATGAAAATGTTGCAAGTTCTGATGATGATGATGAGGAGGAGGAGGAAGAGGTAAACGATGAGGAAGAGGTGAATGAGGAGGAGGAGATGAGTGCTGATGAGCAGGAAATGAGTGATAATGCAGAAGAATTGAGTAATGATGAGGGGGAGATGAGTGATGTTGATGAGGAAGAATCCGTTGCTGAGACAAAAGGTGACAAGAAAAAGAAAACCAAAGAAAGTACCAAAACAGCTAGTACTCTTAAAGAGAATGACAAGAAAGTGACCTTCTCGAATGATTTATTACAAAGGTATGTAATTTTATTTATGTCCATAATTTGCTCAGGTTCACAAAAAATTATATGAACAATTATGTAGAATATGGATACCCCAATATTTACTACTTGTTTATTGTAACTTCATCTTTTGCACTTTGTACAACAGTTGGCTATATATGTTTAATGAGGATGTGCTTTTGTGTGTGTGTCATCTTTTCTCCATCAACTCCTTTACTTTGTATATACATGCATGCATGTACACACGCGCGTGCACATACACACACACAACATAAAATTGTAACATACCATCTTAATAATGTTTATCATTATTAGGCTTTGATTTGAAATCTGTGAACTATGTAAATATAAAGGAGGCATGATTTTTTGAAGGAGCAGCAGGGGTTGACCAGCCCAAAGAAGGACACTAGTAATTAAAGACAGTTCAAGCATGAAAATATGCCAGGCTGGGGACCAGGAGGCTTTCAGAGAAGCCTGTGACTGGAGCAACTTTCCTCCTGCAAAGAGCTGCTACAAGATGATAACATTATTTCATACAGTCTGCCAGCGTGCCCCTGAAATTCCTGTGTTGATAATTGTACGTACTGATGCTTCAATTATTTAAAGCCTATATACTTCACTTTAAAGAGCACTGAATAGTGTTTTCTGTATTTTAAAGTGACGATGAAACAGAGAAGCCACTTGATGCAAAGTCCCCTGCTCGAAAGTCAACTTTTGAGTTAAAACAAGAGAAGGTAAAATATTTGTCTAATTAGTGTTTGATGTAGATTTAGTACAAATTATTGGTATTGGTTGGTTAGCGAACCCTATAGAACAGTAGTTTCGAATTAGGTAAGACGTATAGATGCCTCCTTTGGAAGGTCTGCTACAAACCTCATATTTTCGTCAGTAGGTGGTTGATTAATGCCGGGTTTGATGCCAGCTGCAGGCCATGTGCCTTGCGTTGGTTTCGACAGTGGTATCAAGAAAGCCGACCGTCCAGAAAGCAGTGGCAAACTACTGGACGTAAATTTGCCTAGAAAAACCACACAACAGCCCCTGGCTGTTGGGGTTGGTTCTGCAACGTCCTGTAAAGGATCCGCAGCTAACCTGGAGATGGTTGATACTGAAGAACTTACATCATTTATAAATAATGGAATCACATGCTAAACATAGGGTTTTCTCTGTCTGTTATGTGTGTAAATATAACAGATCCCTTAAATTTGTTTAGCGAACCACCAGTCGCAAAAGATTGCTCTAGAAGAATTAGCGCTAATTCTTCAGGTCTGTGCAGAGTTAAGTTGAGTCAAGAATTGACATCACAAAACTCGGGTCTATCCCATATGCGCTCCATCCCGATCTTCAGCAGTTTCAATACTAATGGTACCAGTCGTAGTTTGGTAAATTGTTCATCTTGCCTTTCCTCTCAGTGTAGTGAGCCGGCCTGACCCTCTGGTACCACTCAGGTGCATCATTCTCTCCAGGCCATAATAATCTAGTTTCTCAACTAACTTCAAGTATGTGCATTGGTGTTCAAGTTATGTAGGATCTGAAACGACTTGCAACACTTGAAGTGAGGCGGTGTAGAGACCCTGTACCAAAGTACTATCTCCATGGAGACTGTTGCAGATCTTTCATTCTATCAGCCTCAGAAGTCTGGAATGTTGCCCACCCAGTACTGGATCTTCGCATCTGATGAGAGGCATTTTGTTGTTAAATGTTGTTGATCCAGAAACCATGAGTTGTAAACCCTTTAGCTCAGTACTGTTGATATAGCAACCCTTTGGCCTTGATTCCATGATAGATACCGTAAATTAGGGAAATTAGTGGCTTTACTGCCCACCCCCGAGCGTGAACTCGGATCACGGGGAGTTCATCACCCGGTCGCTGCGCAGCTAGTTTAACCAAATGAGCTAGTGCATAATTCATCACAGCATGTACAGACTGGCTGGAATTAAATCTTTGTTAAAAATCTACAACCTTCGGCCTCATGTACTTTCAATAAGTTCGGAGACAGATGACCTTCTGTGCCATGATATCAGACTGTCCAGCATCTTCTCCCTTGATGGCCCACTGCTTCTTTTTCCCTCCAGCTTTGCCACCAACATAATGTACTCCAGTCTTCTCCTCATGACATGCTGAAAGAATGCAGATTGTCTTCTTTTGATGTGGGCAGTCAGTTCTCCTCGTCTGTCAGTTTCTTTCAAGACATCTTCATTGATCCTTTTATCTGTCCAGAGTTATCTCATTTGTGTATAAAACCATGTCTGCACCACTTCCACATAATTTTTTTGCTAATTGGCCAGCTGTCTGTGATTCACCTAAACAGTTTATATACCTGATTAAAAATAAACTTTGTAACTTAACAGATTATATACCTGATTAGAAAACAACTTTGAATCTTTATGTGCTACTTAAAGGTGGCATTGGTAAAAGGGGGTGGGGAGGCGGAGGGTGGTCTTAAGCCCAAGGATTTAGAGCCATTTGGTTAGTTCGGCCACCACAGACTGCAGATTATGATTTTATTTTTACCCCAGGAAAAAAATTATTCATCATTGTCCTGAGGATTTGAACCTGGGTTTCCCAGAATTTGTAACCATCCAGCCAGCTGCTGCTTTAACTTAAAGTGTTCTAACTTACTAAAGCTGTTCTGATGAGTTTCATTGATGTGAGAAACTAAAATACTGAAGCATCTTTCAGTTGCAAGCCAAAGCTAGGGAGATGGAGGAGCAGAGCCTGAAAGAAGCTTCGTGGGAGCTTACTGGTGAAGTGTCCTCATCAAAGCGCCCAGAAAACAGCTTGCTGGACACGGTGTTGGATTTCCAGCACACGGCAAAAGCAGGTAAACATAATACATAAAGTTGTTTATTGTCGCCGCCATTCTGAAAGTATTTGATTTAAATTATAATCGTGTGTGGGTGATTTTATGTCAGTCATGGTGCTCCATTTTGCGGGAAAACAAGAATAAACAACACTGCCCTCTAACAAGAATTTCATAAAAGATAACTAATTAAGGGTTTGCTGAAATCAGATGTATTAGGCTGAAAGACAGATATGGCAACATAACTGAAAATCATAATACAGCATGCCAACCGCCCTTTAATGGTAAACAAAGAATTTGAATCTTTCTTTTGTTTTCATTACCTAATATTTTCCATTATAAGGCTAATTTCTCTGTTTAACTTCTGTTGATTTGCTTATGTTAAAATGTGGCAATTGCTTATATCCTTAAACACCGATAGTATATGATAAAATAAGGCAGTTGCTCATCCCTAAACATTATCATTGTGATAAAATAAGGCAACTGCTTATCCTTAAACATTGACAGTGTGTGATAAAATAAGGCAACTGCTTATCCTTAAACATTGACAGTGTGTGATAAAATAAGGCAACTGCTTATCCTTAAACATTGACAGTGTGATAAAATAAGGCAATTGCTTATCCTTAAACATTGACAGTGTGTGATAAAATAAGGCAACTGCTTATCCTTAAACATTGACAGTGTGTGATAAAATAAGGCAACTGCTTATCCTTAAACATTGACAGTGTGTGAAAAATTAAGGCAATTGCTTATCCTTAAACATTGACAGTGTGTGTAAAAATAAGGCAACCGCTTATCCTTAAACACTGACAGTGTGTGATAAAATCAGGCAACTGCTTATCCTTAAACATTGACAGTGTGTGATAAAATAAGGCAATTGCTTATCCTTAAACATTGACAGTGTGTGTTAAAATAAGGCAACCACTTATCCTTAAACACTGACAGTGTGTGATAAAATCAGGCAACCGCTTATCCTTAAACATTGACAGTGTGTGATAAAATAAGGCAACTGCGTATCCTTAAACAGTGACAGCATGTGATAAAATAAGACAACTGCTTATCCTTAAAAATTGACTCTGTGTGATAAAATAAGGCAACTGCTCATCCTTTAACATTGACAGGCAGTTATTTATCCTTAAATATTTAGCAGTATTTGATGAAAGGTGAAATGAATAATTCTTCAACAGTATAACTCAGATAAATGTTCTTGCACCTGGTTTAAGACTTATTTTATGAACACGTCCTATAAAAGATATGCATCTTCTTTATGCCAAACAAGTAGTTTCTCCTGCAATGTAACATTGTGGCATCTATCCCATTCCTCTAGCAACAACACTTCATGATGACTTCTGTCTCTGCAGTTGCCGGTTCCAAGCCAGGATTAAAAGGAGCGTCAGGTCTGGGGACCCGCTTGCCAAGCTTGAAGAAATAACTTTGCAACAAGTGCCGGAAAGAAATGTTTTCTTTGCGTTCACTGGCTCCAAACCCAGGCAAAAAATTCTGGCTGTTCATCAATTTCTGGACTTCCTATTCTTGTTCTAAATCTTGAGTTTTAAATGCTTATCTATTTTTCAGATCTGTCTTATTCGTATGCAGAATGTTGGTTCCTCGCCTCTCAGACAGATGCACTCGGACTTTGAAGGAAACTCCCCTAATTAGTTGCCTCCTATGACATGCTTGTTGGAAAGTTTGAGGAGTGGGTAACCCCTCCCCCCCCCCAAGGGTCCTCGAACCAACATGGAGAGACTGGAAATATAATTGAGGAATAGACTGCGTACCCTGTGTGGTATATAATAGGCACAGAAAGATGATAACAATGGGTTTAACACTTACATATTTTGTTACAGCTCCTGTCATCACGGATGAGACGACAAAGTCACTTGAAGACTACATCAAGCAAAGGATTAGAGACAAGGTACTTCTAGAATTTGCTTAGCACTGGGCATATTGGGTACAATGTTTAAGATTTGCAATAAGAAGTGTAAAACATTTTTTTTTTCAAAGCTGTTAACATTAAAAACAACACCTGTAGCATGTATTCAGTGATAGGAAAATGTCTTAACATAACTGAACTAGATCTGTGATAGATTAGGAGGGATTTTTGATTCATAAATATCAGCCAGAGAGCTCAGTATAAAATAGAGAGTTCTATAAAATATCAGCTGCCAGAAAGCTCTGTATAAAACTTCAACCCAGAGAGCCCTATAAAATATAGTCCCTATGAGTTCTGTATAGAAATCAACACAGAGAGCTCTATAAAATATAGTCCCTATGAGTTCTGTATAAAAATCAACACAGAGAGCTCTATAAAATATTGACCCAGAGAGCTCTATAAAAATATTGACCCAGAGAGCTCTGTACAAATATTGACTCAGAGAGCTCTATAAAAATATTGACTCAGAGAGCTCTATAAAAATATTGACTCAGAGAGCTCTATAAAATATTGACCCAGAGAGCTCTATAAAAATATTGACTCAGAGAGCTCTATAAAAATATTGACTCAGAGAGCTCTATAAAAATATTGACTCAGAGAGCTCTATAAAATATTGACCCAGAGAGCTCTATAAAAATATTGACTCAGAGAGCTCTATAAAAATATTGACTCAGAGAGGTCTATAAAAATATTGACTCAGAGAGCTCTATAAAATATTGACTCAGAGAGCTCTATACAAATATTGACTCAGATAGCTCAATACAAATATTGTCCCAGTAAATTCTGTATAAAATATCAACTCATAAAGCACTTTAAAATGTCTTGAGAGTTCTATGTTTAGTATTGCTTATAAATTATATAAAATATCGGCCTAAATAGCTTTCTAATCATTATAACATTTTTTATGGCGTTTAAAAAAAATTGTTTAATCTGTTGGATTTTTAAAATACAGACATTTGATGATGTTGAGAGGAAAGAAAAGCCCAAAGAGGATGTATTTGAGTTCAAGAAGAGGATCGTGCTAGACCAAGAGAAGAGCAAGCTAAGCCTGGGGGAACTCTATGAGCAGGAGTTTGTCAAGCAGCAACAGGTAAGGGGTTGTGGCCATAATCTAGTGTAGTTACATAGAAATGTCAAGGGGGCATGTCATCTGAGGAGCTTTGGTAGCCTAATGGCTATACGCCCATCTGTCGGCCCTAATGTCTTGGTTTGAATCTGCTGAGAGACAGTTTTTCCCCCTCCTTTTCAAATTTGACCTTGGCTTCCAGTCTGGAATGGATACCTGCTAGTGTCCAGGGAGGCAGTTCTGGTCAGCGTGATGTTGACCACATCGCCTACTGCAGTGATCTTCATTGTAATTAATTGCTGGCTCGAATGAGTCACCGCATCTTTCCATTCACCACTGACAAGAACGAGAAAACATGGACGCTGGCAGACGTTCAGAAGTTACACGTACTGTTTATTTTCACTCGCTGTTGTTGCAGTCAGTAAATGTTCATGTACAACCGTAGCACTCTTAGTCAATGATCTAAACAGTCAATCATACCTTTGTAACATCGTAGAATATACACACAACTCAAAGAAACACAGTAGCTCCCTCCATCCAGACGAACAGTCATTCACAGCTGGCCACCGTTTCCGTCAGCCGCTATTTTATGCCAGGTAGGCATTGGGAAATCACGCTATTCAGACGTCAACATTCTTCCGAACTTTCCACACGTACACCTTTCCCTTGTCCTAATCGAGACTCCCTCACAAACCTTTTCTTCGCTATTATATAGCCCTCTGATCTGCCCTGTTCTTGAATATTCTGGATAATTTCATTCTCACGAATTGTCGTGTCTGGCCCGTGATAATTTGAATCCTGCCAGTCAACCTTCATGGTTTCACGTGAACAATCATGTTTCACGTAAAACCTGACTTTCAGATGTCTCTCATGAAACTCAAGACATAAATCTCGTGTTATCTCAGTCAGTCAAACATTCGCCTTACATTTATTACTGACGTCATCTATCGGGCATAACTTAATGGGGAGAAAATGACTCACTACACCTACCATGTGCTTACTGGCCTGAGTGCCATAAGCGAGGCTTGAGTAACCTCTCCAGGGCGCAGGCAGTGATGGATGGACTCACACTTAGCGAGGGGTCAGACACAGCAAGGTATAGAGAGGAGATGTCTGAGAGAAGACCAGCCTCAGTAAAATAGAGCAGTGTTTCCCAAACTTCTCTTGGTCACGGCGCCTTTTTTCAATTAACATTTTTCCACGGGGCCCTAACCTAAGTAAAAGTATGACTGTTTGTGTCTTTGTTAAATTAATTATGTAGCTTTTACAATATTTTGCGACGCCCCTGTGAAGAGGTCGCTGCTCCCCAGGGCGCCCTAACCTAAGTAAAAGTATGACTGTTTGTGTCTTGGTTAAATTAATTATGAAGCTTTTACAATATTTCACGGTGCCCCTGTGAAGAGGTCGCGTCTCCCCGGGGTGCTGCGGTGCACAGTTTGGGAATCACTGTAATAGAGTATGTTTTGATGCAAACTATTTGGCAGAGACTGCCAATTCCGCATTAGACTTTTAAGTCATAGCCGGCAAAGTTCCCAAAAACCAGCGGCACAGCTCCATGGTCCGTAGGGATTGGTGGTTGCCTAGTAGCACCATATGCCCACTGAGCTACTGGTGTAAGTAGGATCTTATATTTTATCTTTTTAACACGTCCTCTGGTAGCTTAATGGCAGACATACTAGCCTGGTGGTTTTAGGTTGGAATACCTGTCAAGCTGGATTTTAAAAGTTGACCTGGGCTTCCCCCCTTACTAAAAATTGTCCCAGAAAATGGCATGGGAAGTAAAGGCATTGTTTTGGCCATATCCTCGAAATGCAAATGTATACAGGGCTTGAAGTGGGCCTTGAAACCGGAAAAGCTCCGGAAACAGCAACTCATATCTTCAAGACCTTAGAAAACCTGAAATTGTTTATAAAGGGGTCGGGACAAAGACAAAGTCCAGATGGACAAAACACCAGGATTTTACATTGAAGCTTACAACCAGTGAACAAAGAAGATTCACAGATGTGGAGCTTTGGAAAATAACTGTACCCCCCGCCCCCCCCCCACCCCACACACACCGGATTTTCTATATCACTTTTAGGAAATTGTAGGATTTGAACTGGATATACAAACCACAATTAGTGGGGGAGGGAGATAGACCTACTGTGATAAGATGTGTTGGGCTGAAAGGCACAGATATGACATCTGTAAACCCCCCGTGTGGGTTCCGGGGCCCCATTGTGGGGAAAACAAGAATAGACCCACTGCCTCCCCAAAAGCATGTCGTAAGAGTCGACTAATTGGGGAGCTTCCTTTGAAGTCGGAGTGCATCTGCCGGAGAGGCAAGGAACCAACAGTCTGTATTCAAGAGAATGAGATCTGTAAAACTGATGCACACGCAACACTCAGGTTCTGGAGCAGGACTGCAGTTCAGTAGTGGACGAGCAACCAGAACCTTCCGCCAGAGTTTACAGCTGGTGAACGCGAAGAAGAAGAAGAAGAAGACATCTGTAAACTATACTGCAGTGTGCTAACCACCCTTTTAAGGGCGAATTCAGAAAAAAAGAATAAAAAGACCAAAGTCTAACATATAACTAGTGATATTTGCTGAAGGTGTGGTTAAATGCCTATTACATTTTTCAATGTAAAATTTGCTGACATGCAAGCACAATCACCTGGCTTTAGTCCCCAATGAGAAGGGATGTTTCTCTGACTGTGTATAGAGCTCATGTGTTGATTCAACATTATAACATATGAAGAGACAGTTTCATAGGAGATAGGAGCTTATCAGTTTATCTCAAACTGTATGGACCACATATATGTGATGTCTCAACTTCTGATATCTGTCTTTTTACTCTAATTTCACCTCTTGTGTAGAATGTTCAGTTAGTTAGACGCAGTTCTGACTTCACTGCAAATAGGCCATCCTCATAATTGCTCTGTTTCTGTGTCAGTTAAAACTACAGAGAATGGAAAAATGGAAACAGACTGCAGTCTTGGCATAAGGCAGCCTTCAGAAGTGCCAAAACAAACAGTCCGCAACTAGAATATCTTTTTAAAATAACTTAACTTTTGCAGACGGAAACAGATGAAGTCAAAGCCGATCCAGAATGTGAGAAGATAGAGAAGGAACTCAACAAGTTGTTTCATCAGCTGGATGCACTCAGTAACTACAGATATACACCAATGCGGGTAATTTTTGTTATAATCAATAGTTCATTATCATCATATAGCAGGTCCTTTGCAGGACGTCGCTCTCATCACGGTCTGCCTGAAAGAAACTCGGTCTCTTGTCAGCTCTCCTGCCTCGTGCACTTTCATACTCAAGGATTCATATTCTGTGCCCATCTTTGTGTTGGTCGGCCCCTGCCCCTCCTTCCTGGTACCATGCCTTCTGCTATTATTTTTTGCCTTCTGCTTGTTATCTTCAGGAGGAGCACAGACCCATGAGTAACTGATACCATACCCTCCTGTCCTTTGTTGTCTTCTGCAGCCCATTTTATCTTTTTCTCAGATTTTTCTGTCCCAATTCTCTACTCCGTTTGTTTATATATATATCCCGCTGTTTCCTTTGCCGTGTCAGTTCCAGAGAAAGGGCTTTCAGTTTTTACTATATAGATTCCTGTGTGGGTTCTGGGGCCCATTGTGAGGAAAACAAGAATAGACCCACTAACTGCCCAAAAGCATGTTGAAAGAGTCGAGTAAATGGGAGCTTCCTTTGAATTCGGAGTACATCTGCCTTAGAGGCAAGGAACCAACAATCTGCATGCAGATGAGTCAGACATGTGAAACGGATATGCATGCAACACTCAGTTTCTGGAACAGGACTAGAATCCAAAAGTGGACAAACAACCAGAACTTTCCGCTGGAGTTTTAAAAAAAAAGGGCAAAACTCAAGTTCTGGAACAAGACTAGAGTCCAGAAGTGGATGAACAACCAGAACCTTCTACCAGAGCTTACAGCTGGTGAACTTGAAGCAGAAGAGTAACATAAACATATATATAAATATTTATAGTTATTGTTATTTCAATTGATTGCCTTAAAATCTTTTTTTTCCATTAATAACCGAAAAGTTTTGCAGAAAATGTTTGCTTGTAATTTAAAAGATTAGTAAGGCTAATGGAAAAATTGTATGAAGTGTCTGCGAAGGATGGAACTGCCAGAAGATTGAAAATCAGCATCCTGTATCTTCCTGAACTTCTGAATGATAAAAACATTAGAGAATTTTTTTTATTAGTTGCGTATCCATTACAGGAGGTTGTAGTTTGATATTGTTGGGCAATTTTGTTAATGCTCAGAAGTTTGCTGTTGCCTGCTGAACAGTCAGCGGTCAATACAACTGTTAAAATCGACACATTGCAGTATTCTGCCAGATCGCATGCAGCTAGAATTGGACTACATACCTCAGAATTACAAAGTGCGTTGACAGTGCCTTAGTTACGGTTGGCCAAGCACTGTGAATAAGAAGTAGTCAGTCTCATTTAGAAGTTTGTTTGCATTGATTATTTGCTCTCTGTCAACAGCCTGGCACAGAAGTCAAGATCATTGTCAACACACCAGCGATCACCATGGAAGAAGTAGCACCGGTTGCAACAGCAGACTCTGAGCTCTTGGCTCCTGAGGAAGTTTATGTAAGATTTGTTCCGCTGGCATTTTTCTGTCTTTCTTAGATTGTGCTGTAGGGAGGCAGGGAAATCGTAGCCCAGAAGACTTTCCTTGTTACAGTGATGTGTTTATGAGACATCGAGTTAATACCATTGGTTATTTTTGGTTTAGGTCATCAGGGTGTGAATATATTGGAGGGGGGGGGGGGGGTGTTGGGTCTTTTAACCGAATAAGCTACAATGATGAAGGTCACAAGATCACTGCCAGAGTCACCTGATACATTTTGTTTTTAGGCCCCAGGAGATGTATTCCATTTAATTATTCACTTTGTTTATGTTTGTCGGTTACTCCCTTATTTATCTTTATATATTATGCCAAGGGGAAAACAGGGGGGAGGGGGGAATTGTGAATACATCCGTTTTAATTAGTGACCTGTGTAAAATGTTTTTTTTTTAAATAAGGATTTGTTCCGGGAATTCCCATATGTTCATGAAAATATAAATTTTTTTACAAATTGTTCCTGGGGCGAAGGTTAAAAGTATTTAAAGCACTTATCTTCTTTTTATCCTCCCTGTCAGATGAGAAGGTCGACTGATCCATGTGACTTTTAGTGTACTAATTTATTGCGCTCAGTCATGGTCTGTCAAGTGAGTTACCAGATAACAAGTGACACAGCTCAGGCTGTGTAGGCTTACAGTGGGGGTAATGCTAGGTGTGGTCCCCTCTCCCCTTTCCCACATTCCTATGGTTTCTGAACTATTCAGTACCTGACAGATATAGTTTTCCCGATATTTCCTGGAAAGTTTTAACTAGCGCCCTCTAAAAGTCGGTTAACAAGTGACATTTTTTCAAATTTTAATGTTGAAAAAACAAAACGCATCCAATTCTATGAAACTACACTAAGAAACTAGGTAAAGAACGGAAGAAATTTTGTCTTGGTCAGTTTTAATAAAAATGCAAAATTCAGACCCTTAGACCTCTGAACAGACAGGCAAGCATGAAGTCCTCTGCTTCTTTGGTAATGTCATTTCACTAAAAAACAAAACATTACACGTTTTTTTTCTCAGCCACTAAATGTCAATCCTAAAAAAAATGTCTATAGAAAGGGAGATTACCATGAAATACAAACAATGCAAAGAATTAACTGATATCCTTCCTTTTGACCATTAAAAGTTGTTTTGATTACTTTGTCACAAATAGCAGTGTGACACAGCTGTAGAATAAAATGGAAAGAGTGTTCAGTCATAGTGAAGTCACGCATTAAAAAAAATTCTTTATGCCCCAAATAATACCTTCAAAAATTCATTTGGTGAAAATATAATCATACCCACCATATCTACATACTGTACAGCTGCAACTATTATCAAACCACGCGAGACACAATTTAGCGTTATTTCAAACCCCCCAGTCCGGGGGCCGTAATATAACCTAATGGTTGAACGAGGTTTCTGGGACCTCTTCACGGGTGATCCTCATCCGCATGGGTGCACTTTGTGTCATCGGGTGTTTCTCACTCTGCGTGATGTCCTGGGGTAAAATTTACTGCTACTACTACTACAGTTTCAGTGAGTACCAAAGCTGTCATAGAACTTGGTACTGTCTAAAGACATTGTCTATATGTTATATGAACAGTTAAGAAAAATGTTTAATGTGGATAGAATACTGCAAACTCTTGGTGAGTTGCTTGGTACCAAAGTAATTCAATAGTAATTAGGTTTCTTCTTTTAATTTCTGCAGGGAAAGAAGAAAGGAGAGTTGAAAGCTGCAGATGAAAGGTCGGCAACTGATAAAAAGAGAGCTCTACGACAGAAAAAGAAGGACAAACGTGAACGGAAGAAGGCTAAGGAAAGCCGGGAGAAGGTCGTCGCAAAACTGAAACCTGGGCTGGGAAACAAACACAGCAAGGTCAAGGCTCTAAAACAGTTGGAGCAGATAAGTAAAGTCGACAAAAATATCACATTGATAAAGGTAGTGATATTTCATTTCTTCTTCTCTCTCTTTTCTCCCTCTCCCTCTCTCTCTCTCTCTCTCTCTCCCCCTCTCTCTCTCTCTCTCTCTCCCCCTCTCTCTCTCTCTCTCCCCCTCTCTCTCTCTCTCTCTCTCCCCCTCTCTCTCTCTCTCTCTCTCTCTGTGTGTGCGGGTGTGTGTATTCCTGCTCCACAAGGGAGACTGGCTTCAGTCAGCTTCTTCTTTGCATTCTCCAGCTGTAAACTCTGGCAGAAAGTTCTGGTTGTCAGCTTCTTGACTTCATTCTTGTTCCAGAATCCTAACTTTGCTTGCACATCAGTTTTACAGATCTGCCCTATCTCTATGCAGACTGTTGATTTCTTCCTGCTCAGGCACTCCAACTTCAGGAAAAAAATGCCTAATTAGTTGCCTCTTAGGACCTGTGTGTCAGGGATGCAGTGAATCTGATCCCCCCCCCTTCCCTTTCCCCCCACACCCACCAGAACCCGCACAGAGGGTTGGCTGCAGTGTACCCATTGTAAAATAGTATGCTTTAAGGCCTTAGTCTCTTTCAGGATGCAACTCTCATATCACTGTCTGAAAAACATGAGAGTGGTCTTTAAACAAATAAATCATCCACCTTGGAAGTCAGACCGTCGTACTCGGTGGTCATAAAATTGTAAAACACATTTACTAACCTCTCAGCCATAGTGCTGCACTTCCATTTCTTACAACATTCTTATATTTGTCAGCCTGTAGGACGGGGCTATTTAACGAAGTTTTCTCAGGTTCCCGAATGTTGCAGTTGGGGATTTTCATGGGACAGAGGGCTAAGAAATGTTCTCAGAATACCATAGAGCAAGAAGGAAAGAAATACTGACATCATAAAAGATCTGTACATAAGTAAGAGTGGCTAGTAAGCATCTTGTCTCAGAAACTGAAATATTTTGGCCATATCATGCACCACGGCGGATTGGAAAGAATAATAGCAGAAGAAATGGTACTAGGAAAGAGAGGTAGAGGCTTGACCAGCAAGAAGATGGGTGTGGGATATAGTGACACCTTGGTTAGGAAATTGCACAAGATGGGATATCTAGTGAGAGATGGGATATCTTGTGAGAGACTGATTTTGTTGTTGTTGGCAGACCTTAATAAGAGTGGTGGTCTATAAAGGACCTGCTACATGATGCTGATGATGTGTATTGTAGGATTGTAATGACTTTTTGTGGGAAAATGTTAACCATGTAAAAAAAAATGTTTTCCAGGGTGATCAGAAGAAAACATCTTCAACAACATTTTTCACTCAACTGCAAGAAGAAGTACAGACCAACGCCAAGTCAAAGAAAGCTGCCAAGGACAAAAAGAAGAAGGTTGTAGATGCCAGCAAGTTGATGTTATAGACAATCCTTTTTTGTAATTACATTGTCATCAAACTAATATTTTGTGTCATGATTTGTTTTGCTTGATAGTTTCTCAACTGAAATATGTTATGTTCAGATAAATATTGGGTAGGGGATGGGGTTGTCTGTGAGTATTCATCTCTCTCTTTTTGTCAGTCTGTGTTTATCTGTTGCTTGTATTTTTTTTCTTTCTCAATCCTTGTGTCTGTTTAGGGCATGAGGGCCCATCTGATATTCTTACCACCCACTGTTTCACCTTCTTATTTAAGTGTCCAGTTACTTGTTGTCACCTTTCGGTCTTTCCATAGGAGGAGGTATGGACTGACAGCCCAAGGCAATCATGAGAGTTAAGTTAAGTTGATTCAAGAAGCGACATCACAGCACTCAGGGCCTTCCCATAAGCGCTCTGTCCCCATCTTCAGCAGCCAGCGAAGAGTTCCGATACTAATGGTGCCAGCAGCATTCTGATTAAACGCCCGTCTGGCATTTCCTCTGAGCCTCGAGCATCTGCCAGAACCTCTCGAACCCCCCCCCCCCCCCCCCCCCCCACTACATCATGAGTGACTAGCAAGACCCGCCTGTGTTAAGAAAAGTCTTCCACATTAGAGTATGAGATTTCAGCACCGTTGTTGCCATCATGTTTATTTTTTGTGCTTCTTCTCAGTCATTTGGCTCTTATCCTATCAGCAATGATTTCCTACATTCTCATTCCCTTCCTGATCCCCCTTTTTCTACTCGACATGGTCCATGGCATTTCCAGTTATGAGCAATATAAACATTACTGATGCGTCATTATATACTGTGTTTAATCTGCCATTGCAACATGGTCAGGGTGCATGGGGAAAACGCTTTTCACCAGCAAATATTTGAACATTTACTGAAATGCTATGAAAAGATTATAATTTTACCATGGGCCAACAAGAAAAGAAATACTCACCACCTAAAAGATCTAAGCACCAACTAGGATTGGCTTGTAAGAGCAGCTTTCTTGAAAATCGAAATATTTTTGCCATACAAGGCGCAGTGGTGGATTAGAAAGAACAGTAGCAGAAAGCATGTTGTCAGGAAAGAGGGCAGGGATCAACCAGTACGACCATGGGTACAGGACATAAGTAACACCTTGAGTAGCAGAGACTGAGTTTTTTTCAGGCATACCATGATGAGAATGATGTTCTGCAAGGGACCTGCTACATGATGATGTACAAATATTAATTCGAGTTAAGAACTGACATCGAATCACTCTGGATGTTCCCATGAGTGCTCCGTCCTGATCTTCAGCAGCCGCTGCAGAAATGCAGTTCCAGTGGTACCAGTAGCAGTCTGTGTGTCTCATTTGCCTTTGCTGACTGGATCCCATGGTCATGCCTTGCTGCACCATCCTCAGAGTACATCTGCCTGAGAGGCAAGGAACCAACAATCTACCTATAACTGAGATCTGTAAAACAGATGTGCACGCAACACAATTTTTCTGTAGCAAGACTTAAGTCCAGAGGTGGATGAACAACCAGAACCTTCTGCTGGAGTTTACAGCTGGTGAAAGCGAAGAAGAATTTACCACCAGGTGATGATGAACGAGCCAGTCTCTCTCCTTGAACATTTCCTAACACACCTGCTTGCCTTGAAGAAAATACCCAAAGGGCACCCTCAGTGTGCAACAATTCTGACATGGAGAAGACAAGAGTCAGTGACTTCACGCCATTAGCACATCGAACATATTGTGCTAGTCTCATATTTTTTGGTAAACATTCAACACTGAGGGGGAAACATAGGCAGACTTTTAATCAGTTGCAATTGGTGCTGTCAGCACGTCGACTCCTCGTTGGCTACTGAAGAAGGGGAGGTTGTTTGTGGTGTAGAACAAGGCTGGTATATCTCAGCCTTTTGGCCCCAAACATCCCAACAAAACCTTAATAAGTTGCCTTTTACGACATGCTTAAGGGGCGCTGGGTCCACCCCATCCTCAGCCCCAATGGATCCCGTAATCCAGTGGTTCCCAAACTGCCTGCCACTGCACCTAGGGGTGCCAGAGGTGTCACAGCAATGATCAGGAATTTGTTTCAAAAGCTGCTTGAGTTCAGATAAGACAGCAGTTTAAAACATAAATACAGTGAAGGAAGCCAAGAAGAGTTCTACATGCTGGTGTATTCAGAAAACAATGCCAGTGGAAAGGCTGCGGTGCATTTTCAACATACACTAACATTGAAAAAAAAAAAAAAAACAGATACACGAGCAAACTTTCTGGGTCAAGTGATTTGAGGATAAAATTAACTGAACTTTCCATATACATAAAGGAAATAATGAAAAATTCATTCAGTTTCATTCATCGCATTAAAGACAACTGAACATTAAATGTGCACTACACTCCCCCCCCCCCCCTTTCCGCCCCTCCTTTCCCAAATATTTAACTGCTTTATGTGTAGGGGTAGTCGCCGTGGCAGAGCGGCTAGACATGCGCCAAGGATCGGAAGGTCGTGGGTTCGCTCCCTGGCAGAGCCGTACTTTTCTTCAAAAATGACTTTGGCTCCCAGGTTGACCCAGCTTTGAGTGGGTACCGGGTGCAGTCCTGGGAAGTAGAGGCGGCCGGCGTGATGCTGACCACATCACCCATCTTGTGCCATCGGTCTATAAAATATAAGGCATATAGCCTCCTATGCCCTATACGCCTAAAGGCTTGGAAAAGGGTCCTTTCTTTTTTTTTTTTTTTTTTTTTTTTTTACTTTTATGGGTAGGTGTGCCGCGAAAAAGTTTTTGCCCGATAAGGGTGCCGTGGCGAAGAAAGTTTGGTAACCGCTGCCGTAACCCACACAAGGACCTTCAACACTCTACTCCTAGGTTTTCTGGGTGTAACTATACACTAGTCAGGAGAAGACAACCGAAACAATCCTCCGCGCCGTCTACTGCAGTTTTCCCTTTCTAAGATTCTCTCTCGGCGTGGAAGCTGCACGGCCGAGAATCATCCATGCTAAACCAGACAAAACAAGTTCTCACCTGACATGATAGACTTGTCCGCTGTGCCATGTTTGGGATAATTAATAGATCTTTGCTAGATTTAAGATAAACGCCCTGAAAACACGGGTAGATAACACAATGTAACCAGTAAAATACAGACGGATGACTCATGGTTCTCAGCAGTTTTTTTTCCTGAACTAAAAGGTGCCGGTTCTCGCCTCAGAACGCGGCGTCCCTGGCTTAGGCGTTGGAGTCCGACTCTTAATTCCAGCGTACCACGATCGAAGCCCACTGCTGGCTGTATGTATTTTTATCACGGTACGGGGCGTCGCAGGTCGACCCTGCCTAAAGTGGGTACCAGGATGAATGTCCTGTACAAGTAAAGACGGCCGGCGTAATGCTGGCCACTTTACCCACCTAGTGCCGATTGGTCTATAAAAATATGGGTGCTTTTCCCATATGTCCGATGCGCCTAAGGCGTGGAAAGGGATCTTTACTTTTGACCTCTACTTACCCGCCTCAAAGGGTATGTTACCGTATTGCTAAAAAAAAAAAAAAAAATTGATGCGTAACAAAAGGTATCGGCACTGCATACTAACAGGAAAAAGTCCTGGTCCGCAGAAAAGGTAACGCAGATGCGATCATGTGAAGCGGGGTTAAAGTCGAGAGGATGGACTTCATTACGCTGGATTTTATCCTATATCCGATCTTTCTCCGCAGAACAGCTAGCTTTCTGACGATAGAGTCACACAAAGTACGAACACCGTAGCACCGGCAACGATCTCCAGGGGTTTCACTTGTAAACGGAACTACTCATCCGTAAATGGAATCCACGACGTTCATAGCTGAAGTAAACGGTTTGAACACTTAAGAGAAGAAATATATCATCTGGAGCGCGAGTGCTATGCTACAAAAAGCAAAGAGGAACCCTAAAGTCAGAAAAGTTACTGCTTTTGCTGATACTACTAAGGACCCTCTTTCACGCCTTTAGGCGTACTAGTTATGTAGTGCTAGACATTTGTTTCACAGACCAATCGACACTCGTTGGTAGATGTTGTTAACATCACACCGGTCGCCTTTACTTCCCAGGACGCTGCCTGGTACCCATTTCAGGCTGGTCGACCTGAGAGCCAAAGCCGTTTTTGTGCAGTCCGGCTCCGTTTGAATTTGAACACATGACCTCCATCTAGCTGCTACACCACGGCTGCTGGTGTTGCTATTACTTGACACAATCTGATAGAAAGATACCCGACATGGAGAAACAGCCTAGCTTTGAGTGGGAGACCTGCTCTTACGTAGTCTTCGTTTTATGGTTTCATTGCTAAACGTCTCCAGCGTGTTTCACATTCTCAGCCGTTGCTCTTGCCATAGGTGCCGGAATCGCCATTATTTTGTTTCTGTTTCACTTTGCATTGGTATTCTTTATACACTCCTTTAAATAGTTGATAACTTTATCTGGTAACCCATACGCAGCAACGATTCTCCACATCACTGTTCTATCTAGGCTCTCGAAGGCCTTTTCCCCACCATAATTTTGTAAGGGGGTTCATAGGCACACTTTAACCAAATATCGACGTTTGCTTTAAAATATTTATTTTTACAAGTCATAATATTTCTAGTATATTATATTTTAACTTAATGAAACTGAAAAGTTGGACCACCAATAAAGACAGGGAACGAAAGTTAAATGCATCCGAAAGCAAATATTGAGGAAAATTATTGAGATAAAATGGGATAAACTCAAAAGGGGTGAAGAAATAAAGGAAATATTTGGGCAACCGCTAGTATCAACAGTCAGTTAAATATTCAGTGTTTCGCACTTCTTAGGACGAAATTTTTTTTTATTTGAAGCCCCACCCTGGCTTTTGCCAGGGGCCGCAATATAAGCAGGCCATAAATATGGCCAATTGTCTGAACGCGGTTTCTGGGACCTCTCCACGGCGATCCTCATCCACATGGTGGCACTTTATGTCATCGGGTGTTTATCGCTTGTGTGATGTCCTAGTGGGGTAGAAAGTCAGTCAGTCATTAACAGTCTATTATTCAGTCAT